AAACATCTATCGTTCTATGCTCAAGGCGAATAACCTAACCCGGATTGAGAACTACAATTATCAATGGCACAGAGGTTGGTACTGTCTCGGCAGTGTGATTAGTATTTGGGTATCACGCTCGGCCCAAAACTCTTATGGAAGAAACACGTCTGTATGATGACATCCAGAGCCACAAGAGCACTAATGGTTGGGACTACAGCTCTCGTACATTCAGATTGATGTATACTATGATTGCCAAGCCAATGATAACTTATGGCGCAGTGGCCTGTGGTTCAAGTTTCAATCTAGGTACTAATTTGGGGCGCTGTTACGCAGACGATCATATGATCTCTGGTCACCAATTGTTGTTGCTTTCAGTGCACAATGAAAAATTTGTGAGCGAAAGAGAGAACTGAACTGCATGACCAGCAGCGCTGCCAACTATTTTATAAGAATTTTATAACCCGCTATAGAAAGCAACAACAATTGATGACCAGAGATCACATGATCGCCTGCGTAACAGCGCCCTTACGAAACTGCAACTTCTTGCGTGTGTGTGTCCCCACGATGGCTATGTTGGTTATTCTTGAGCTCACGGCTCTGCACCTCAGCATAGAGCACAGGCAGTCAAACGTTCGCTAAGAGAAAGTTGTGGTATAGATAAAGTAGTATCATCTCTCAGTGCCCAGATAACCTAAGCCTAAACCAATTCACCCGGTATGATATCTGCAGAATTCTTAGCTTCGAAAGGAAGTTTAAAATATAATTATGGGAAAAAACGCAAGCTGGAATGACACAAACATCATGAACTACCACCAGTGAAAACCTCCTGATCAGTGTTGCGGTTGAGAATTTTCAGAAAGTCGCAAAAAGCGGGTGATGGACGAAAAAAGGGTCTCCATATTATTTGTGTTTTTCGTTACTATTTAAATAATAAATCTGTTGAATTTGAAAAGAAAATAGTGGGAGAAGCTTTGCATAAAAGAGAGTTGCAAACATACCCATATATCTACTATGCTGCAAGGATAGAAGTTTTAAGTGATGAATGTTTTTAGTACTTACAGGAGCAAATATTTTTTAATAGCATGGTTCTGTTAACATTTCCTATAAACAAAAATCTATGAAAAGGAACAAAAGTCGCACATAATTTTGGAAAAGGGTCAAAAAATCAAAATTTTCAAAAAGTCTGCTCAAAGGGTATTGTCGTTTAAAAAGGGTCAAATTGCCCTTTTAGTCGCACAACAGCAACACTGCACCTGATGGCATTGGAGCTGAAATTCGCGGTCCAAGACCAACGATAGCAATACCCAATTAGTATATTCCAAGCGCAGGCCGACGCCATCGCATCACAATGAAAATGTCCGGATAGTAAGCAATAGTCAGGCATTGCCTTGCAGAAAATAATATCAATTGATTAAAATAACCAACTTCTAGTAAGCTTTTCTGCGGGAGTTCGATAAATAACTAACTTTCCATTAGCTATGATAAAACTAACTTTAAGTTAGTTGTAAAGTCGTGCAGGAGTCATGCAGACGTTATCAGGAGTTTGTTTTTTTTACATTTTTCTATCTAAATATCCTCATACAAAAACTACTTTCAATACAGTGTTTTCTGATCTTCGCAGATTCTTTTTCGTATTCAGGACAAATAAAAGGAAGAGCGAAATTTTATATTACAATTTAGAAGTTATGTCTGGCGGTGTTCGAATGTGGAACCACCTACAGCAGAATATGTAAACAAATATGAAATGTAATAAAATAAAGTAAATAAATAAAAAATATAAATATTTTTTTTATTGTTATTTTATGTCCAAAAGTGGCTAGTTAGAAGTTAATTGACATCGCATGCAGAGGAAACCAGTTCTCACTATTTTGCGGCCATCCCCCTTCAGAAGTAGTTAGTTAGGGCCAAAGGAAATGGTTAATAAATAGTTACCACCAGCCTATTCCTAGTTAGTTAATAGTTAGCTACAAACTAGTCCCATTTCCTGCAGGGTGGGTTCACGGGTGTGAAGAGACTAAACGCCTTATCAGTAAGCAATAGGACCTTCCTTCCCTGAGTTCGCGGCCACAAAGACTAAAATGGCCTGCTAAGAAGGCCGCAGCAAAGGACAAATTAAGAATTCTAACAGGTATCTCAACAAATCATTGCATAGTAAGAAGTCACCTACTTAAACTTATGTTATGTTGCTCACCTCACTTCATTTCACCTCACTTCAATTAACCTCAACTGCACTGACCTCACGTCACCTCACTTTAACTCTCCTTAACTCAAATTACCTCACCTTATCCCAGTTCAACCCTCCTCAATTCACCTGAACTCAACTCATCTCAACTTACTTTACCTCATCTCCCCTCATATCACTTGAACTCTCCTCAATTCACCTTAATTCACAAATGTGTAAATGTCATCTCTAAATTGATCAGCGAATCAAATTAGCAATAAAAATGACTTTTTGTTTTGTTATTTAATCCATTTAATATCACTCGGCTCAATGTTATGTTATGTTATCTTCTGTTATGCTATGCACAGTAGATCGAAACATACGGCTGTCAGTAATATGGAACGATTAAGGAATAAACCAAAATATGCGGTTTCACTTCCGTAGCGTGGCCTAAACGCTCTTACACTTTTTTGTTGTGATTATTCAACTGAACCTTCTGAGCACACACTCTTCGAATGTGATGCAGTGATGTACTGACGGGAGGACGAGAGAAGTACCTCTTGTCATCACATACATATGTACATTCGATGCTACCAAACAGGCTATTGGATTTGCTATGGAAGGCATTTATGTATTTATGCTTTGCTTTCAAAGTAAATTTCACATTTACCGTCAAATTTGTGCTCATCTCGATTCGCGCAAAATAAAATTGCAAATTAAGCACTTGATATAGGTACAGACGTAAATGGCATAAATTAGGTCAGCTATCAAAATGATTTCAAATAGGAGGTAATGTATAAATAAGAGTGCTAATGTGTGAATGTAGAAATATATGCTAAAAAAAGGTGCAAACATATGCTGATATATATGAGAGCATTTTTGTAAATCGAAAAATTTTATATTTCCAGCACCGAATGAGTGGCCACACTAAAAGTGCCTTCACTTGGCTGATCTTAACAAATTGTTCACAAATGACCGATATGTGTACATATGTACATATGTATTGTAGGTATATTCCTATAATGGATTTCATATACATATATCTATAGATATACTCGTCTATATTTCACCCTTTCTGAGCCAGAAGCCTATAATTAAACAAAATTAAAGAGAGAGATTTGAATTAAAAAATTGTCATATTAAACAAATGTATGTAAACAAAAATAACTTTTTCCTAAGCCTTTTCATTAATTTCAAGTAAAAACTAATTTTTTCCCAATTATTTTTTCCACAAACAAAAAATTTATTTATCTAAAATTGTTTCCTAAACGATTTGTCAAAAGAACTTTTTCCATTTTTTTCTCTAAAGAAATAATTTTTGCTCAAAGAAAAGATAATTTTTTCTAAATAATCTTTTGCATCGTAATTTTTCTTATAATTTTGGTAGATAGTATTTTCCTGAAAACAAATTTTTCTTAAACGATTTCTCAAAACATTTAAAATATTTTTTTCTCTAAAGAAATAATTTTTGCTCAGAGTAGAAAATTTTTTCCAACAATTTTTTTTGCATCGTATTTTTTTATAATTGTGGTAGATATTGTTTTCCTAACAATAATTTCTTATTTTTCTAAATTTTTTCTATAATTTTTGTAGATGTTATTTTCTTAACAAATAATTAATCTTGCATAAGTTTTTTCGTAAAAATTTTTAAACAAATTTTTTTCTAAAAATTTTTTTGTTTCGTAACTTTTATTATAATGTTGGTAGATACTATTTTCTTAACAAATAATGTCTCTTACAATTTTTTTTCTATAAGCCCTTAAAAATAATTTTTCCCCCAAACTGATTTATTCCTAAAACACACTTTTTCCCCTAAAACATCTATCTCAAATACGTATTATTTTTTTAATTTTTAATCCCAAAAAAGGTTTTGCCTTTAAGAAAGGATTTTTACCGCAAAAATTGTTTTTACTCCAGAAAATTTTTGTTTCTAATATTTTGTATTTTTTTTAGTTTGGGTAAACATACCCAACTTTTTTTTTTGTATTTAGTTTGTGATGCAGAATAACAGATAATTCGAAACTACATCGATTTTTTGTCTCTCCTCGACAATGTCAATGCCAAGCACGTTTTCACGTTTAGGTAACGATATATTTTTTTCTTACTTTTTTTTCGTAAAAACTATTTTTTTCTTAAAATAAAATTTCTTGAAAACTATTTTCTCTATAAAACACCAATTGTCAAAATAAAATTTCTTGTTTTGATATATCGTACTAATTTTCATAAATATTTTTCTAATATTTCAAGATAAAAATAGCGTTGTAAATGAAAATGAAGCACATTCTAAAAAGAAAATATAGAACGGCAATTTCGTTATGAGTAGAGTAACTTTATGGGAAATACCTAAATATGTTGGTTTGGTCCTGAAAGGGTTAAATAAACATGTGCACACAAGCATATGTATGTATGTACATATCCATAAATATTCGAATATTTCCTGTGCTATAAAAAATGCCCGACGAAAGAGACTTAAGACAGGACCGGCGACAGCGGTGTACTGAAACTTTGTTACAGGGTGCGGCGCGACGACGTGACTGATGACGATCGCGACGAATTTTCCATAGAATATTTTTCATCATATTTTGTAGTTTTCATTTCAATGTTTTTTGGTGGTTCTTGGCTTCTGTGTACACTGCTAAAGAATATTACTTCCCCGACAAAGGAGACGCGTCGCGACGCAACGATGAGCGGGCGGAGTAACGCGTGCACCTACTGGATTTTATTTATGTTCATATTTTTGTATATAAATATGTATGAGTACATAGATTGACTCGCGGTTTGGCTGGTATACAAAATATTGGCTTCTTCCATTTTTTAGTTGAACGAAATTTTAAATTTCATTTTCATTTGTCTTGTGAAAGGCGAACGCGTCGGTTGAAAAAGATTTTTTAAAATAAGTCGCACGGCGGTGCGTGTCAAAAGTGGCAGCGCGTTTAGTACACGTACTATCCATACGAGTATGAGTGTGTGCTGAACATCTATATTATATCTGAACCAGTAAAAAATTACCGAAACAAAAACAACTAAGCGCGTGTATAAGCAGTATCGAAAATATATAAGAATACACAACAACAAATAAGTGAAAATATATTAACGTGTTTTTCTTGGTTCCGTGGCTCATTCAGAAATTATTGAGAATTCAAAATAATGTTATTTTTATAAATTTTACTTAATAAAATGGTTTTTCAGTAATACGCAGTTAGTGAATATTCAAAAAAAAAAAATCCTCCTTTTGCTACGAAGCTTTAATTCAAATGCAGCTCAAGTGCCATAGTGAAAAGCCTTAAATAATAAAAAAAAAATATCCGCACCAATTCAGTACCTGTGTGCTTCGGCAAAACGTTTGCCAACTTTCCATATTTGAGGTTATGTTCGACGCGTTGTGAAAATGAAAGTGCTACTTCACGTTCTTCTTTCTTGTATGCTATTTCAACTAACTGCACAGTTAACTACAGCCTTTGAAGTTGTAAAAATTGGTATGTTTTAGAAAAAGCAATATTCTGTGATTTGATATATATTTTACATATACATATATATACCTGGCTGTGCATATGTATTTATATAGGTGTGATATTCTTCAACGATGAATGGGAATTAGTTAGTGCTTTTGACACAGCCATACGTGATATCAATGAACTTGAAATGGATGTGCGTTTGGAGCCAATTAAACATTTTATTAGCTATGATGATAGTCTAACACTGCAAGAATTGGGTAAGTACACTAAGGAATTATTACCAAATGAATTTTGAATACAAATTACAACTCTTAGGTTGGCTTTGGTTAGGTTAGAGTTCGAACAGGGTAATTCTGGCAATTGTCTTTTAACTCTCCACAATTTTTCGAAAGACAAAAGTTAAAATGAAAATAAATAAAAATATATGTATTTAAAAATTAAATGAAATTAAAAACAAAAATATTTTTCTTCTTAAAAAAATACGATATAAAAATTAAAAAAAAATAAATAAATTAGAATAAGTAATTTTTAAGCAAAAAACAAAATTATAAAGAATTTAAGATTATCGTTAATCTCTTCATGATCCAATGATCGGATTTAAATCAAATTTGAATGGGCCCACCTGTGAGGTAATACCTTTCCTTTAAAAAAATAACTATAGAAATCGGTTAACGTGGTCCAAAGTTACGCGGTAACATACATAAAAAAAAAATATTCCGACGATTTGATAACATTCCTCCTTTTTGTGAAGTCAGTTCAAATGAAGAAAATTTTATTAAAACGGCAGAAAATATAACTTAGAATTTAAATGAAATTAAAAAAAAAAATATTTTTATATTCGAAGCAAAATCTAAGAACTAAAAGAAAAGTAAAAAAGACAAAAAATAAAGTAAGATCATAAAAAATAAAATATATGTATTTTTCTTTTTAAAACAATAATATCATTTTAAAATACACAAATTATATAAGATACGATTTTAACAATTCAATGAAATTAAAAACAAATATATGTTTTTCTTTTTAAGGCAATGACATCTAATAATTAAAAGAAAATTTAATTAAAAAGAAAAAATATTATATAAATACAGCTAAAAAAAAATATATAATTTTAAAAATTAAAAAAAAGCATAAAATTTAAAAACCAAAGGAAAATTAAATTAGAAGAAGAAAAAAACTGAATGAAAAGGAGAAAAAAGTACTTAAAAATTAAATGAATTTATAAAAAAAATTATTCTTTAAACAATGTAAAAAATTATAAGAAAAGTAAAAAAGACGAAAAATAAAATAAGGTCCTAAAAATTTCATGAAATGAAAAGAAATATATTTTTCTTTACAAAACAATTAGATCTAAAACCAAAAAGAAAATTTAACTGACAAAATAAAAAATATTTTATTGAAATTTAATAATTGACAAAATAAAAAATATTTAATTGAAATATAGAAAAATAAGAAATATGTACGTTTTTAAAAATTTAATGATAGTAAAGAAAATATATATTTCATTTTGAAACAATAAAAACTTATTAGCCAAAAATAAATGTAGTTTTAAAAATTGAATGAAAGTAAAAAATATATACACATATTTTCTGTGGAAAATAATAATGTCTAAAAATTAAAAGAAAATTAAATTAAAAAAAAATCAAAAAAGGAGAAAATAGGCCTTGAAAATTATATACTATTTAAAATATATTTTTATTTTTAAAACAAACTCTATACATTAAAAGAAAATTAAAAGGAAAACAAAAAAATGTAAGATTCTAAAAATTAAATGAATTAAAAGTTAAAAGAAAATAAAATTAAAAAATAAAAAGTATTTTATTAAAAAAAAAGTACGTTTCTAGAAATTTAACGAAAGTAAAACAATATATAATCTTCTTTTTAAAACAATAAATTCTCAAAAAATAAAGAAATGAAATAAGAGAAGTTTTTTGAAAATTAAATGAAAAAAATATATATATACATTTCTTTTTGGGAAAATTAAATCTATTAAATGATAGAAAATTATATTTAAAAAAATTTTAGTAAAAGAAAATTCGCTGCCCGATGTGTCGAACCCGCATCTCTCGAAAGTCACATCAGTGTTTTGCTCATCTTCCTTCTAATCAGCGACGAGACATTCCTGATCGAACGAGTTGTTCTTTCGGTCTCGCTAAAATCAACCAAAAATTGTTCAGTGGCATTACGTAATGTAACGGTAAATGCGGCTCCACTGCTTGTAGATTTCGTTTTGTTAAAGATTTTTGTTATTTTGCTCCACTTTGCTCTAGTGACTCAACTTCGACCAAAAGTTTTACTATTATGGTGTATTATATTAAATAAAGGCAGCTTATGACTTATGGCGTTTTCGTTTCTACAAAAAATGTTGCCTTCTCATTGCCCTCTTCCTAGCGTTTCTGCGTAGAGTGCAAAGAGAAGGTAACCTCTTTCGGTAGAAACGAAAACGCCATTAGTCAGTTATTGCTTTTGATTATACATACTTTTTAAAGCATAAGCACTTTTATTTTTCACTGTGTAATAATTTCAAATTTACGCCTTTCTTTTTTTTAGCATGCGATTTGATTGACAATGGTGCTGCTGCTATATTCGGCCCAAGTTCAAAGACAAACAGTGGTAAGTGTTAGTTTTGGCCGAAAATTGTATGCACTAGGCTTGGGGAGTTCTTGAATTAAATGAACTAAAGAACTAGTTCATCTCAATGCACTAGTTCACTAGTTCGGACTTTTCATTGAACTAAATTTGTCAGTGCTACTATTTCCCATTTTAGATCCATATATTCTTGGCACGAACGTTATGATAGTAAAAATATGTTTAAAATAACATATCGACACCTATTTTAACGTCCTATTTTATAATTTGATTGAAACACACCCTAAGTCAGAGTTTGGCTGAAGAACGTCATTTGGATGAAGATCTCAACTGAAAGTATATTGGAAATATATTGAGAAAGGGCGTTTTTGAATCGGCAGCTAGGATAGGGTATTTTTGAAAGGATTTTTAAAAAATTCAAAGAAAACTAAATTTACTTAGTGTTTATTTTTTGTTTTTTTTTTTTCATTGAAAAACCGTGTTAAATATATTTTCGTTCTATTTTTCTTTGCATAATACCCAGCAGTCAGGTATAATTGCCACGCCAATTTAAACGGCGATGAAAAAACAATCACTTCCCACCCAGCAGAGAAACGTAAATTTTGCCGACAGTGCAAATACAATTCTTTGTATCCGGAAACGAACGCAAAGCGACTACAGTTTTCGTTCATTTACGTATCCAAAAACATTCAAAAAAAGTGCGGTTTTCGTATCCGGAAATGAACAGAAACACGACACAAGTTTCATTCATCTTCGTAGCCGGAAAACGACCGAACATGATGTTATTTGAAAGCAATAATTGTATTTTATTTATTCAAGATGCTGAGCGTGCAGAGGATCGTGCCAGGATTTGTTAGCTTTCTGAAGGTGTCGAGTTCGAACTCCGTGAGGCGCTTCCTTAATTTTTTTTTGTTTTGTTTTAGAACCATGAAAAAGCATCTGCGAAGTGCAGAAGGAAAGCGTACTGAACGAAAAATTAAATACGAAAAATTTTAGAATAACAGCCAAAAACGTATCCGTTTCAAAACAATTTTCGGTTCTTGTCTGACATACGAAGAACAAAAGTCCGCATATCATCCAATTTTTTCCTTTTTTGGATCCATTTTCAGGTCATTTGTTTACAAGTCAAAAGACATTGGTATCATATCAAAAGGAAAATTAAAAAAATGTCAGCAATTTTTTTTTGGCGGTTTGGGCTCGATATGCAAGTAATTAAATAAATAAAAAAAATTTTTTCGTGGAAGCGGGAGCAGAGCTCGGAGCGAAATAAAATGCCGGAGTGCAGTTAGAGCGGAGCGATGAAATAAAACGTTGGCTCCGAAGCCTTGTCTGCGATAGGTCGATC